TTCTTCAAGTGAGACAGAGAGCCTCTTTGGTGGTGTTTGTTGCCTCCAAGCGGTCCAAGGTGTTTGCGGCTTAGAAGCGTAGCTCAGATGGATTATCCCGCGGGGATAAATGAGGCGGAAGCTTTGAGATACGTCTCGAATGAGGTCAGCGCCGATTTGGCTCACATCCTTCAGGATGCTGGGGTACCGCTCCCGGTCCAGTATCGGCTTACACAATCGTTCAAGACAGTGCGTCGCTTTGCGGCGTATGCAGATGATCGGCCAGGTGTTAGGACTGCCTTGGCGGCGGACATTAGTCTCGAGCCTGCTGACATGTCCAAGCGTGCAGCCATCGCAGCCGTGGTGGCTGCATGGGAAGCTTGCAAGGATTACTCTGCTAAGGAAGCGGAGATGCGGGCAGAAACAAAGTTTCTTGGCATTGTAAGACCGGTTCTGCAGAATGAGCGATTGGCAATGAAGGCCGCGTATGAGAACACACATGGGAGTATCGAAGAGTCCTTCGAGCCGTCGGATGATTACCTGGCTGCCAAGGTTGAAGAGTTTGAAAATGTGGAACCCACTGCATCACCTCTGAATGAAGTGACTAGCAAGAAGGCCGTTCGCACCCAAGGGTTGCAAACTACGGTTGATAAAGGCGGTGCAGTTCGCATTGTCAAGCAGAAGCAGCGTGGCAACATGCCCCAGACAACGGAGGAGCTTCGTACCGTGTTGCGCGTTGAGGCTAACACTTACTGCTTCATGGCGGGCAAGTTTCGCAACAAAGCCTTCTTCAAGGACATGTCGCCGGAACCTTGGGCGGACTTTGCCAATTACCTTTTGGGTGAGAAGGTCTACCTGATGAAGATTCCGGTCCCCTCCACAGGGGGCAAAGGGACGGAGCAGACTCCGGTGAGGCCCCCTTGGCAGGTTCTCTTGACCTACGAGCACGAGATTCGCAAGGAAGCCATCAAGCGGGCCTACCAGGGCTCTCAGCCCCTGGCTGAGACGCTCATCGCGGTGATGCGGGACCCTCAGATCAAGGAGCAGTACTTCACTTCGCCCATTGCATTGCAGAACTTTGCCAACAAGCGAGAATGGGCTGCTGATGCCCCGTGGGAATCTTACAAGTGGAGCCGGGGCCGAGGTTTCCCGTACAAAGGAGGGAAGGACGGCAAGGACGGCAAGGACGGCAAAGGCGGCAAGAAAGGCGGCAAGGACAAGGGAGGCAAGAACCCGGGGAAGCGTGATGGCAAATCCGAGTACTCATTGATGAGCCATACTGCTGACGGAAGAGAGATCTGTTTCGCCTACAATGCTCAAGGCTGCTCCGGGGGATGCGGACGCGTCCATGTTTGCCGGGTTCGAGGATGTAATCAGCCCCATCCTTTGTGGGAACACTTCGCGAAGCTCAGCATCTCCGACAAGGACGAGAAGCGCGAGACGGGGGCTCGCAACTGACACGGATCATTGCGTGTGCTCTCGCTTTTCTTTGG